CTTGTAATGATGCGCAACAATAACAACAGTAATAACAAGAACACTTGTTCACGACTTACTACATGCCACACACCGGTCCGAGTAATTTGGGAATGCTGACTTGTTTATCAGGCTGTGAAGCAGGTGCTGTGTTTCTGTCCTTTTTACACGTGAGGACCCCGAAGCACAGACAGGTGGGGTAACTTGCCCTCTGTCACTGAGCTGTGTGGTGGAGCAGGGTTTTCGACCTCGACCGCCCAGGCTTGGAATCCACAGACTTACCCATTATATCATCGTTCGCAAGTTTCTTTATGAAAATGCAAGCAAATATAAAGATATTTATTTCCCCCTCATTTGTCCCCGCAGAAGGTAGTAGCATCTTGTTCTCATTGGTGTGCCCTTCTGTTTTATTCTGTGCTCGACGGGGCTTACTGGAAGTCATCCCCCAACAGGACACAGAGCTTCCTCATTCTTTGCACAGGACTCGGTGGTCTCGATCAAAGCCCCTGTTTTTACATCGCGAACAGGAGGTAGATAGAGACTGTCCTGCTGGTCATCGTGGGTGTGAATACACTGAACAAGCACGGGTCTGCCAGCCCGGTCTTTTCATTGCGGGACGCTGTGACGGATCCACATTGGAAATGAGGGAAGCAAGGGAGAGAAAGGAAGAGAACTGTCAAACCAGAAGCATTTCCCAATAGTATTAGATGGCACGCACAAAAGAAGCACTTAAGCAAAAACAGTTGTCCTGTGGTGCAGAATCAGTAACCAGAGGCCGCCCTGAATTAGCTGCCTCTCAGAAGTCGGTTCCCCTTGCCGTGAATTCATATCACTGCAGCAGGCATCAGGAAAAGGGAAGGAACAGCACAGTTCTCATGAGCGTCTGGAAGGCCCAAGGGGGTGACAGAGAGAGAATCCCCAGAAGGTGCCCCAGAGCCTTCCAACTGTTAGGCAGCAGGCTCTAACCTTGAACTGGGGTCCTTACAGGATGCATCTGTGGCAATGGACTTCAGTGCACTTTCTTTTCCTGGCACTTTCTCCTTGATACCGTCTTCATAACCATTTCCTTCTTTGATTCGTCCCTCCAGCTACATGCTTGAAGCTGGTCATCAGGGTCTGCTCCCCAGAGTTAGGCTACAGATGGAGTTTTCCCAAGGCCAGTGCCTCTTCGGAAGATGAATTCACTGGGAGTGAACTGATGATCATGCTGCAATACACATCCGTGGTCTGGGAAGACCTGGGTTTAACAAAGAGCTGTTTTGGTTAGAAAGAAAAATTAATATTGACTGACTCAAACCCAGAAAGAGGAAGCAGATACTCAGTTTGTTTAGAAAAATAAGAGTTCAGGTTAGGGGCAGGATAGGTAAGGGAAATTTTCCTTACCTCCCTTTTGAGATGTTTACCAAGAAGAGTCACATTTCATATTCAGTTTTAAGGTACTTTTCATAACTATGGAAATCATTTTCTTTAAAGTGTAAGTATCTTTACTTCCTTAGTGTGTCCCTTTAAAAAAAAAACAGTTAATTTTCCAAATTCTATTCTGATAGAAACAAATTCCTTTTTTCCCCATGTAACTTATGTCCAAGCCTGTTTTTCTTTCTTTAAAAAATTTTTTTTAAATTTATTTTTAGAGAGAGGGGAAGCTAGGGAGAAAGAGAAGGAAAAAAACATCAATGTGCTAGCAATACATCTACTGGTTGCCTCTCGCACGCCCCCCACTGGGGACCTGGCCTGCAACCCAGGCACGTGCCCTGACTGGGAATAGAACCAGCAACCTTTCAGTTCACAGGCCGGCACTCAGTCCACTGAGCCACACCAGCCAGGGTCAAGCCTGTTTTTCTTAATAAAAGATGCTCACTGGTTTTGTTTTGTTCATCACAAAGGATGAGCAGCTTAAACGAAATCACATCTTGTTTATCACTCGGATATTGTGGTACAGTCTGTTTTAAAATACTCCATGTTGTCGAAGATGAAAGCAGAATGTTATCTCTGAAAGAGCTTTAGGGCGCAACCTGCGCCCTCCAGGCCGCCAGCGTCAGTGCTGCTCTCACTGGGGCCTTGGGATGGCCTTCAGTGACCCACGGACCTGTGGGGAGTCAATGGGAAAATGCAGGGGAGAGTCGAGCAGGATCCCAGCCCGTCGTAATTAAGCTCGTTGCTTGTTGTTGTTATGACTTACACAATGGATGGGATTGCACCCCTCCACCTACCTCAGAGGCATCAAGCAACACCCAAAGATAGCCTGCCTGTGAAAGGCTGTGCACAGCCATCATAACGAGCACAAAGGCCACTCTTGGTAGGGGTCATGGCCAGGGCAGCAATAAGGAAGTACCTCTACCCCTTCTCACAGGGCACGTCCTTTCATAGTGCAGAAACTCTGTGTGCTGACACTTGACTCCTTTGAGATTTTTTAGAGGCCTGGGAGGGGAGAAGGCCTCACGGGACTAACTGTTCCCACCGAGGACCCTAATTTTGGGATAGTCACAGAAGGGTCTGTTTTGCAAGAGAGGAAGTTGATGCTCTGGGAGGGACAGGGACTCTCTAGCTCATGTCACACTGGTGGGGGGGATGCAGACTTCTGTCTGACCCCATGTCCAGGACCCTCTGGGGGCTGCCTCTGGGGGGAGACATTCTGGGGGAAGAGAACCTGGCATCCCCTGTAACTAGACAACAAACAAGGGAAAGGGAGGCGTTAGGAGAACAGAGTCAGGAGACTTCTCATTTAAAAATAAAATGATACGGGAGAAATTCGGCCTTACAAAAGCGGAGGAATCTGAAGGCTCCACATACAGAGCTGATCCGTAATCTGGACCAAGGCGGAAGAGGGCAAGGGGAAGGCCGTGTCCTTTCAGAGATTCTGAGAAACCCCAGCAGATAAGATTCAGTGACGGCCCAGAGTGAAATGTCCTTGGACCCACAGTTGCTGGGTAATAAGTTTAATTTTCACTTTCACTTCTTCCACCTTTTGAAAAGAGCTTGAGCAGAATGGCGGATGGGTCATTCCACCAAATCTTCAAGGGCACCGGGCTGTAGAAAGCTGACGGGGAATGTCGGATGGTCCCGCTCTGCCGACCATGAGCTGGGTGACCTTGGACAACCCCTTGCTTCTCTGTGGACTTCAGTTTTCATGTCCGAAAAATGAGGGAATTAGACTCGATTCATTCATATAACACTTTTTTTAAAAAACCAAATTCCCCTGACTAGAACCTCTTGTGCAGTGTTTAATAGAAGTAGCACGAGTGGACGTATGTGATTGCTCCTGACCTTAGCAGGGAAGGCATTCCTTCCTTCATCGTTAAATGCGACCTTGTGGGTTTTCCATAGACGCCCTTCTCACCCTTCGCAAGCTGAGTTAGTTCCCCCGTCGTCCTAGTTTCTTTAGCACTTTTATTTATAACAGGGTGTTGGGTTTTGTCAAATGCTTTTTTGTATCAGTCGAGTTGATAGTATGGTTTTTGTCCTTTACTAATAATGTGTGATGGGTTATGTGAACTGATTGCTGAAGGTCGACCCAACCTTGCATTCCTGGGACCAGTCACACTTGGTCCTGGTGTATAATCCCGTCTATAGATTGCTGGGTTTCCCTCGCTCCTATTTTGTTCAGGGGTTTTTGTGTCTATATTCATAAGGGATATTGACCTGAAGTTCATAAGAACTATTTACAGAGGAGCTTATGTGCCAGGCATTGTTCTAGGTGTTAGGAATTCAGCAATTTTTCGGAACAGATTTTTTAAAAATCTCGTCTTTCATGGAACTTAACACTCGAGTGGATGACTGCTCTGCACTCCATTGGACATTTCTGTCCGTCTGTCCTCTCAGTGATGCCCCTGTCCCAGGCTCCATGTGTCCATGCTGGACTTCGGGTAAACGGGTCGTCAGTGCCTGGAGATTGGAAGGGGCCAGCTGTCTCATTTAAATTGCTGTTCTTTTCCCCCCACACAATGTAAGTGTTAACGGAATCGGAACATCCGCACAGAAAAGGGCATACGTTGGTGAGTCTGCACTCACTGACACCAGCATGGAACCAGCCCCCGCCTCTACACCCAAACATGGCCAGCGTCTGAGAAAGGCCTCATGTCCCTCCCGCCCTCAATAAAACCGCCTCCCATCTTCCCATACCAGCTGTTAGTTTTCTGAACTTGATAAAAAATGGAGTTATCTTGGTCCTATTCACTCGGTATTGTATTTGTGAGGTTCACTTATCGGGCTTCATGTTGCCATGGTTTTGGTTCATTCTCCCCATTGTCTAGTGTTGCCTTGTATGAATATCCATCAGTTTATCCCACTGTGATTGGACACTTGGATTATTCCCTGTTTGGGGCTGTTATTCTGCATGCTAAGGTCATGTTATGCTGTGGTGACATGTTTGCCCACTTTAGGGTACATGCCCAGGAGTAGAATTGTTCGGTCATAGGTTATGTTTAAGTTCAGTTTTCGTGGAGTTCTGCCAGTCATCACAGCGGATGTCCAAAGTAGGCTGTCACCAACGTGTGACAGTTTGGGTGCTGCACATGGTCACCAACATGTAGCCATTGTGGTATCGCGCTATGATTTTAATGGGCATTTCTCTGGCACCTAATGAAATGAAGATGTGTGTTCCTTCTATTTATTTGTTTGTTTTAACCTCACCCAAGGACATGCTTCCTGATTTTAGAGGGAAGGAAGAAAGGGAGAGAAACTTCGATGTGAGGGAGAAACATTAATTGGTTGCCTCTTCTTCTCTGCACCCTGACTGGGAACCGAACCTGCAACCTAGGCATGTGCCCTGACCTGGAATTTAACCCATGACCTTTTGGTCCATGGAACAACGCTCCAACCAACTGAGCCACCCTGGCCAGGGCAAGATGCATGTTCCTTTTAAATGCGGTGATTCAGCGGAGCCATCTGTTTAGCCCAGGTCCTTTTTGTCACAGATACTGCAGCTTTCTCAGGCAGCGCTTTCATGCTGGCAGTAAAAGCAAGAGGCCATTACTGTTCATACCTCTTCCGCAGCCCCTGACTGGCTCATTATGTCCTTCCAGTATAAAGAGGAAAAATGGCTCTAGGAAATCAGTCAAGACCACCCGGGATGGAGAGCCTTCCTACGTGTATAACATGAATTTTGAGAAGGTGGGCCAATGCATCATAATAAACAACAAGAACTTCAACTCATCGACAGGTATGTGTGCTGGGCGTGGGCTACCCATTCCTGTTCCCTTCCAGTCTCTTCAGCGTGGGCTCAGGTCTGTAGCAGACCTTCGGAAGGGAATGTCGTGCCCCTCCGCTGTGGCAGGCAGCCGCTTCGTAGATGGTATTTGCATGTCCAAGAGGAAGGGATGCAGAGAAATCGGGAATTTGAGTCTGAGGTCCCACCATGAGCATGAGCTAAAAATCGAGGACAGCTGTTTGGCCTTGACTGCAGCTGAGAGCATCACTTAGCCGCACGTGGTGCCCGGCCGGGTGATGCCGCGCGCAGTCCTCGGCCAGGGATTGCTCATCGTGACCCGCTGCTGGATTCCCCCAGGTATGAGCGTCCGGAACGGAACAGACAAAGATGCCGAGGCTCTTTACAAGTGCTTCCGGAACCTGGGCTTTGACGTGGTGGTCTATAATGACTGCTCCTGTGCCAGGATGCAGGAGTTGCTGAAACAAGGTGTGTGCCTCCCCCCGCCTCCCTCCTTGTTCTTGCAGCTCCTCATACAGGCAAGGCCCCCGCTGGTGCCTGCAGGATGCTGTGCTGGACACAGGCATGTCAGCGTGGGAAGCCTTTCCTTCCTCCGGGCCACCTGTACCTGTCTCCGGGGTAGTGGGTCTCTTTCAGGAAACTTAGATCTTTCCCTAAAAAGATGAAGTCAGCTTATATGACAGCAAGAGAAGAAATAGGACCTGTCTCTACAGAACAGTCTCAATTTCAAAAGGCTAATTCCTAAGGAAGTAACCAATGGACACCATTCTTCCTTCCACACGGTTACTCTTAAACTTTTCCCTGGTAGAAATACTTGGCATGACCCTTGTTATGTGGCCTGCTGATTGAATATTAATTCCTATAATAGGTACTATTGTACCCACTTTACAGACAGGGAAACCAAGACACAGAGTGGCAAAGGAACTTCCCTGTGTCACAGACCTAAAAAACAGTGGGGTCACCCCCTTTAGCACCCCAGAATGCTTCCTCCCAACAACTGCCTGAGCCCCCCCATAGCAGGGGCTCACCTCCTCAGGAGGCAGCTCCATTCTGGTTTCAGGCTGAGCGAGAATTCTAGAATTCTCTCTGTAACTTCTCTCCACCGGTCCTCCTCCTCTCTGGAGAGGTGCTCCTCCCCCGAAGAGCTCTCTGTCAGTGGGAGCTGCCAGGCTGGAAGGGGATCCCACCTCCGAGGTCCCACGGGGCTTGTTTTAACATTCCAACCTTCACGTCGCTTGCTTGCAGCTTCTGAGGAGGACCACAGAAATTCAGCCTGCTTCGCCTGCATCTTACTCAGCCACGGAGAAGAAAACTTAATATACGGGACAGACGGCATGGTCGCTATCAAGGACTTGACGGGCCACTTCCGGGGGGATAGATGCAAAACCCTCTTAGGGAAACCCAAACTCTTCTTCATCCAGGTAATCCCTCTTCAAAGCTGGCCACACCGCAAACGGGCAAAGATTACGGAGTGACTTGCATCATCTTTGCCGGTCTCTGTGCTTTTCCGATTGGGGGGTGTGTAGATTTGGGTTTGGTTTTGTTTTCTAGTCCAAATGCTTGGCTTCTGTGTCTGCTGCAGATCACAACGCATGGGGGTTTCTTTAAGGCGTTGCAATACTTTTATTTGCTCTGCTCATTCGACATTCCTTGAGTCGCCCACCAGAGCATCACTGAGCCCCCAGGACACGCCCAGCACCGTTCTGGGCGCCGGGGCACAGCAGTGGACAGCAGGAGTTCCTGTCCCCAGCTCCATGGAGCCATCTCTGCTTTGCCGTTTAGGCGTGCCGGGGGACAGAGCTTGACGACGGGATCCAGGCCGACTCGGGGCCCATCAATGACACGGATGCCAGTCCCCGATGCAAGATCCCAGTCGAGGCCGATTTTCTCTTCGCCTATTCCACAGTTCCAGGTACGGAGTCCGTTGTCTGCTAACCGGGCCAGGCCACTCTGCGTGGAGGCTTGGGGCCATATTCATTTCCCGTTGCCACGGTGACCAATCACCACACATGCAGTGGCTGAACACACACAAAAGTATGCTCTTACGGTCTGAAGGTCAGAATTCCAAAATGGGTTGGCAGGGCCGAGTCCCTTCCGGAGGCTGAGGGGATAAAACCCACGTCCTTGCTTTTCCCAGCGTGTTAGAACCTCCCACGACCCTTAGCCGCGGCCCCTCCCTCCTGCTTCAGAGGCGGCGACCTCACGTCCCTCTGACCCCCTTCCTTCCATCCTCACCTCACACTCTGACCACCGCTGGAAAGGCTCGCCCATGTGGACAGTTCAGGATGGTCTCCATTCATTCGCTTTACCTCCATCACACCTGCGCAGTCCTCTTCGACCTGTCAGGTGACACAGGCACAGGTTCCCAGGTGAGAGTGTGGACACCCCTGGGGCCATTGTTCTGCTCACCGCAGGCATTTAGTCCCTTTTCTCTCCGAGAGAGCAGAATTCTCTGGTCTGTTACCACTGCTATCACTGGTAATTACACGAGCAAACATTTCTTTTTTTTTAAACAAGTATTTACGCCTCCAGTTTTATTATATTTATTATTACAGTAACACAGCTTACCTAATTGGCACAGAATTATATTAACCTATGTACATTAAATTGTTTTCTTTGTAAATACAAACTTAGAGATTGAATAACAAAATCATAGCAATCTCTACGGTAACAAATTCTGTGTCAGTACTAAATGTTGATATAAACAATATATTTCAAACAAAAAGCTCATTAACGCACATAGCCACAGAGATTCCAATCCAAAAGAAATACGACAATGGACTGATGCCAGGTCTGGCTGCTTCTATTGTAGCAGCTCGTTTTCTGAAACAGGAATGCGCTTTGTTGAGTGCAGTTTTCTTGTTCCTTTCATTCTAAGCAGGTTGTCAGCCCCACTATTTTCTTACCTTGTGGCTTTTTGTGCACAAAAATAAAAGCTGATTGTATCTTTTTAAAAATCTAAAATCACTGAAGACATAATGTCAGGTATCCCAGAGCAAGAAGGGACAGAGAAGAGAGACATTTCATCTTTCAGGAAAGGGGACTGAATGTTGGAAACCTGTCTAGAGAGCTCGTGATCTGGAAGCAAGGTCAGAACTCCGAGGTCACTAGCAGGTGCCTCTGGGGTATGGCCAGAGCATTCACAGCATCACAGCAGGGAGGGCGGTAATTAGAACATCAGACTGACAGTGGCCAGGGGAGAGGCGAGAGGGGGCAATGGTGGAAAGAAGGGGAAGGGACTAGTCAGAGAACATGTGTGCATGACCCATGGACCTGGACATCAGCGTGGGGCTGGACTAGGGGAGCGTGGCGTGGGCTGGGCAAAGGAGGGCAAAGGGAGGAAAATTGGGACAACCGTAATAGAACAACAGTTAAAAAAAGAAAATCAGCTATTATATTACCAAAATACGAATGTTTACAAGAGCAGACTTTTCAATAGCACTTTAAATGTACAGAGCGTTTTTCGTACCAACGGTGCAGGTAGTGAGGAAGGTTGTTTTTGCGGTCCTGGTTTTACGGGTGGGAAAATGAGCTTGGGTGAGTCTGAGTGACGTGCTCCAGGTCTCAGGGATTTCGGGACACGGTGAGGCTGGAGACTCAGACCGGGATCCCTTTACGCCGCCCGCCTAAACAAGCACCACGAAGTGCCAGTAACGAGACAGCCTGCTCCCTGTTTGCCCGAGTCGCTTCAGGGAAAGGCTTTCCTTTGTTTCGGGTAAAAACCATCCCTAAGCCAGAATGCTCCCGGCTGTGATGGAGTCCGTCAAGTGCTTGGCACGAAGGTATTAGTTATAGTACATGGCTCGGGGTTTGGGAAACCAGCTCTGGCAGGATGGACAGATCGGGTTTTCTGAGCACGGGAACTTCACACGTTTTAAAGTTGAAGAAAATAATTGGGTCTCCCTGCTCTGGGGAAGGAGGTGTGTAATGGCGGCATCTGTCTGTGAGCAGACCCAGTGGTTGGGTGGCGGTGCTCTGAGCAGGATCTGGGGAGCGTCAAGGAAGAAGGGTGAGCCCTCGGGAGACAGGTGAGAGATGCTTCCCTAAAAAAAAAAAAAACTGTTGTAATTGTCTTGAAAAATCAAACAGAGGAGAGAAAAACATGGCTTACCAGAAGGAGTTCGGAGTGGTCCCTAGTGAAACTCCTAAGACTGCACTACAGCAAGTGTTAGTCAGCCCAGGCTGCTGCGACAAAACACCATAGACTGGGCTGCTTACATTACAAAAATCTATTTCTCGCAGTTCTGGAGGCTGGGAGGTTCAAGATCAAGGCACTGGCCGGTCTGGTTTGTGATGAGGGCTCTCTTCCTGGCTTGTAGTCAGCTGCCTCCTCACTGTGTCCTCACATGGCAGAGAGATTGGGGGGCAGGGTGGGGAGAGGGAGAGGTTACCTACCGCCCAGGGTATAGCGAATGGCCAAGGTGCAAACCTGGACAGGTAGACAGGGAGCCCCATTGTTGTAGGCCCTGCATGCTGTGCCAACAGCCTGAACTTCACCATGATAAGGGGTGCAAGGATACTGTCTGAGGTGGGAGCATCACAGGGTGAGATTTGTGTTACTACAGCAGTTACCTCCAAGACCATACGGGACAGGGTTAGAGGAGACAGGAGACAGACCTGGGGGCAGTGATGCAATGGAGATAGTAGTGCACGTCCTGGCCCCCACAGGTCCCTGAACTGAATGGGATAACTCAGGTGACACCCACACACAGACAAAAAACACACTGTCTTACTGCTAACGCTGTAGAGTTCAAGTCCACAGGCTGGTAGTTGCCCTGTGCACCACAGGAAAGAATTCTGAGTGCACCTCAGTCACATTACACAGACAGGTTATTTCTATGTGTTGTGCACTTACTCAATAACTGATTACTGTAAAGTGATGATGACAACCCAGTTCTCATCAAACCGATCGGCAGGAAGAAGCACAGCTCATCACGTAAACCAAAGGCAGCTTTAGTTTCAGTTTTAGTGTCCTTTCAGATCGGGGTGTGGAGGCGGTGGAATCTTCTCCTGCTCTCCCAGGGCATAGGGCACTCCCGGCCCCGCCCCTAGCCGCCTCTCCCTCCCAGCCCTCGTCAGCAGGAGCCAGCCTCTGGTTCTCCCCCACCAGCAGGAACACTTCTCAGAATTCTCTGAGGCCCCCTGGTTGGATTAGAAAGTGGCACTCACCCCAGAGGGCGGCGAGGCGTTCCAGACATGGAGCTGCTTGCCAGCATTTCCTCTGGGGGCTCCCTGCCCGGCGTGTCTCCAACACACACCAACCAAATCATTTATTGCGTGTTTTCACGCAGCCCTATCTCTGAACCCAAGGAGCTTGCTCTCTGGGCACACCAGCATGATTCTCGTTAGACACTCGCATGCAGAGTGGAGGGAAATGATTTCAGAAAAGGCTTGTGTGAAGGCCCCCAAACACCGAGAGCTACTCTCTCAGCGGTAAGCGGGGCCGGCTGTGGTCAGCCGACTTGATGGTCTCCCTCTCCCGTTGAAGGCTACTACTCGTGGAGGAACGCGGGCAGCGGCTCCTGGTTCGTGCAGGCCCTCTGCGCCACCCTGAACGAGCACGGGAAAAGCCTGGACATCCTGAAGATCCTCACCCGAGTGAACTACAGGGTGGCCCGGAACTTCGAGTCGCAGTCCGACGACCCGCGCTTCCACGAGAAGAAGCAGATCCCGTGCATGGTCTCCATGCTCACCAAGGAACTCTTCTTCTCAAAATAACCATTCCCGGGGGAGGGGGGGGGGGGGGTGCAGTTTCGCTGAACAGCAATGGGCTCTTTGTTGGTGAATCTTTTTTTTTTTTCCCTTGGATGCTCTTGACATACCTGTCAATTCTAAAGGATTTTTATTTCAGGAAAACGTGTTGATTCAACAGGAAGGAAGCTTTCTGGTGCTGTCTTATGGTCTCCGGGTTTTCTCAGAGTTCTCTATTTGATGACTTTGTCATTTCCTCTGAAGATTATTTCTTTTTGTTTGTATTTTTCCCTCCTGTTGTCGCATGTAGCACACACAACAAAAATGACCTCTGCAGGTGCCTCTTGGCTGTGTCCACTATAACCGGTGGTGACATTGGTGGACAGTCAGAGTCCTATTTGTGCCTGGTAGAAATAGTCCCGGTGCTTGACAAAACACGGCCAAGAGGTACTCAGTCCCCTGTGTTGCGGCAGGTAGGTATAGAGTATGGTTTGAGTGGTTTTTTAGTGGCTTAAGGCAGGTTCTCATGCAGATTCCCAAGTAAGTTACAGGGAAAAATAATGTAACGATTCTATTATGTATGGGTCAGGATCCAGTCAGGAAAACAGAAGCCCTGCTAGGTGTTTCAATAGAAAGAATCGAATAGAGGAAATGGGCTTAACCAAGATGTTAAAAGAGAAGCCAGATAAAAGGAAGCAGTTACCACCTAGAGCCGTGAGGCCGTGTGTCTCCCTGAGCCCAGAAAGGGGGTGGTTTGCGGAGCTGGAACCACAAGGAGGGGCTGCCTGGTGGGAGCTGGTGCCACCTGGGAGCGGAGCGATGGAAAACGTCAGCAGGGCAGGGCGAAGCCACTGCCTGAGAGGGGAAGACTCCGGGTGGGCCATACGTGGAGATGTGCCCTGGCGTGTTCCTGCGGCACCTGCTCCTCCAGCGCAGCGCCACCTGGAAGCCCGTTGACAAGGGCCCTGGGAGTCGTATTGCCCTGCAGCACAGCAGGGGAGGAGTGAGAAGCAGATAGGAGTGTGCCCCTCACGTGAGCAGACGCCCTTCTATTCCCTGGTGTTCTGCTACTCTGCCATCCAACCGTCTACTCATTCCATTGTCAGACAATCTCCGTATTGCCCAATATGTGAAAAATCACCTGTGTTAGCTTTAATGGATACCTGAAACTTTATACATTATTCCAAGCCTTATTCTGAGTACGTTTTTTTTGTTACTTCTAATTCTCTAGGTGGGGGAAATTTATGGCAAAGATTTTCGCACTTTGTTTTTCAGGTGGTGGTATTGTTTTGAAATCTTGGTAAATTGCTACTTTATTCTACCTAATACCTTGTTAACAAACGTTCGTATTTATTGATTAAAATGTGGTTGCTTAATTTCTAGCCTGTTCCGTATCCCTTCTTTTTGAAGTGTTTGTGTTTTTACGGCCATGGGAAAAAGAGAAAACAGGAAAAGAATTGTGCTCACTGACTTGACCTCGGCACAAAATATAACTCCCATTTCTTCTGAAGCTAGAACACTAATAAAATAATAAGTAAGCACTTAGGAATCACTGAAACTCTTCACATAAAGGGTTAATCGACTTATAAAACTGTTTGTGATGGACTGCCATTTATTAATTTGGCAGCCAATTACATGGTATAAAACTATCTTCTTTCAATAAGAAAACTAATTTAGGGTCAGTTTCTAAGTCTTATCACTGGTTTCCTGCCATCTACAATATACCAAATATTCAAAATTTAAGTGGCAATCAGGAATCAAGAACCAGCATGCAACTAGCCTACTTTCCCCAGAATTCACAGGCTGTTCCTTGGAAAAATAGACTATCCTATGAAAAGCCCTTATTATAGAAATAAATATGCCTATGTACATTGCCATTTGAAGTAAAAATCATAGCACTCTAGTTATTTGCCTTGGACACTTTATTGCAGAGAAAAAACTGATCTCTTTTTTTTTAGTTCACTTTTTAATGTTCTCTAAGCAGTTATAGTTACTCAGTTCATAGTCAATGCCCCTTAGGTTGGAGATATAAGTGGTTATTAAGAAAGGACCTTTGTCCTTGGCAGCTTCCTTTGGCGTGTTTATCAAGACTGCACATCCTATTCCAACATGAGTATGTGTTCATTCATCTTTGCCGTTAAACTTTCTGATTTTATTACCCGAAACTGTGACAACAAGTTACCCCAAAGGAACACTCGATCCTGGAGAACATACTTGGCTAGTTTTCATTCTTACGTAGGACCCAGGCTCCCTCTGCAAGAGCAGCAGGCAGAGCACCCTTGTCACGGAAGAAGACAGGGCTCACATCTGTGTTTCTCTCCGCATTTTCACCTGGTGCCACTAAGCGACTTCAAGTGTCAGCTTTAGGCCCTGCCCCGAGCTTTTTTTTCCCCTCTGAGCAAGTTTCCATAAACCATCATAAGCCCATTATGCTTATAAATTGCCCAAAATAGTTCTCAGAAAAAACTGCTACGGTCAGTATTTTCTCGTGGTTTACAACCTCAAAAAAACGCCAGGGCTTCACTGTGAGCAAGAAAATGATGTCTACTGATGGCTCACAGACCCTGGTTGACAAATTATTCAGTCCAGTCCTGCTGTGTGTCGCCTGAAATCTTGGATCAGCTGCTCTGGCTACCAAGGATCACCTTTTGACTTCCTGGGAGCCCACCCTTCCATCTAGCTTTGCATCTTTCAGGCCCTTTTGCAGCAGACACCTGGCCAGGTGAGAAGCTGCGGTGGTCACCAGTGGTCACCATTGGACAGCAGCAATTCATCTGTGCCATTAGGCGGGAAGCCACACAGCAGGCCCCCAGGTCCCACTAGTTTCTGAAGGAGTGCATCCTCGTCTGCTCTTCCAGGATCTGCAGATCGAAGGTCAAAGGGTTCTTGTTGGCCTTGTAAATATTTTAATATCTTCAACACTGAGTGTGCATGCTCAGTGACATCAGCAGCCCCGGGAGCGTGGCCCTGGCCCAGGTCTGCTCAGCAAGAATCTGCCTCTCAACCAGATCCCCAGGGGACCCACGTTAGCATTACGGCTTGAAGCTCGGTTCTGAGAGCCAGGATCACGTGTTTACACGCTTTTGCTTCCCCTGGGCACTGAACGCGGAGCCGATCGAGTAGATGCCTGAAAAGAATTAGCCTAAAAAGAATTAGTGAAAAAGCGTATGTTTAGGGCTCTCCCAGAAAATATGTTTTCAAGCATCTCTTAACCTTCAGCAAATCCACTTGTAAAACTTCAGATGCCCTTCATTTGCATGGTACACGTTCTCCTCCCGTCTCCATTTTATAATAAATGAGCCTTACGCCTGGCTGGCGTAGCTCAGTGGATTGAGCTCGGGCTGCGAACCAAAGTGTCACAGGTTTGATTCCCAGCCAGGGTACATGCCTGGGTTGCAGGCCATGACCGGCAGCAACCGCACATTGATGTTCCTCTCTCTCTCTTTCTCCCTCCCTTCCCTCTCTAAAAAATAAAATAAATAAAATCTTTAAAAAAAATAAAATAAATAAATGAGCCTTCTGCTGAGTGATGTAATAGGATTGTTTATGTTCTCCAAGTATCTGCGAGTGTGAATTGCGGCCTTTAAAATGTCTTCATAAACAAAACAGGATCAAGGGAGCCATTCTTGCACGGTTTTGTTGGCGGTCGGAGCTGCTGTGCATTGAAGCCGCAGAGCTTGCCTCTTCCTGACCTATCCTCAGAGCCCTGTGGACGCCCAGAGAATCACTCTCGCTCCCTGCCAGGGTGCCCGCAGGCCAGGGGTCACATTGTTGATAGACCTCAGGGCATTGCTTTGGATCAGACGGCCAGTCATTCTTTTGGATTTATACGCAAACACACCCAGCACACGATGGGAAGGCCCCAGTCACCACGACAGTACTGATGTGGCTACGGAAACTCTGTCAGCTTACAGGTTTGTGCCTGAAAAGTATGTGGTCGACACTTGAAAACAAAAAAGCCAAAAATGAGTTCGCTTTTGTGTGACTTTTGGTTTACATGGCACTATAAATACTTATGGTACTATAATTTTTGAATAAATTGAAGTATTTAAAGCCAATCTACATCCAAGGATTTAAATTAGGAAAGCACATGGGGATGCGCATACATCAGGCTGAGCACTTTGGGGGCTTTGAGGGTGGATGGCGTGAGGTTCAGGAAGGATTTGGGGGAGGGAAGTGAGCGTGAACAGTCCGATAGGCGTGGTCCGTGACCAGTTGTTGAAGGCACGTCTCAGTCGGCACGGCATCACACGTGTAGGGTTAGCAGAGGTGTTTCAGCCATTGGTACTTAGAAGGTTGTCGGAGTTCCAATCTTAGCCTGTCATTTGCCCATTTAATAGCATGTCACCTTAGGGAATCCTTCTCATCTCCCTTTCAACACGTGATGTTAGTAACATGAATATAAAATGGTGGTATCATGTATGTGAAGTGCTTAGCACTTAGCACTGTGCCCGGCACAAGTCACCCAAAAAGTAAGTGTCGAAGATGATGAGGATGGCCGTGAGGACAGTCATAAGGTGACATGAGCTTATAGAAGGGACAAGGATAAAAGATTCTCCTTGGGACCCTGCACTCCCTGTTTCTGCTTCAGAGAGTATTCTCACTGTATTTCAGAGTGAGGTCTCAGAAGCGTGGGGACCACACCAAAGACTGATGTATGCCTGGCTGGCGTAGCTCAGTGGATTGAGCGTGGGCTGCGAACCAGGCATCACAGGTACAATTCCCAGTCAGAGCACATGCCTAGGTTGCAGGCCATGGCCCCCAGCAACTGCGCATTGATGTTTCTCTCTCTTTCCCCCTTCCCTCTCTAAAAATAAATAAATCTGAAAAAAAAAGACTGATGTATGGTGCAAACATTTAGAGTCCTACTAAATGCCAGGTGTTGTGTTAGGGGTGGGACTAAAACAGCAGCCAAGAAATGATGCTTTCCCTACAGGAGATGAACACATCGTGCCAGTAAAACAGTGGCTGCAACTCGTGTGTGTGTGCTACTCCGGAAGACAGATGCAGGGACATCCTTTTGCTTGGGGATTCGGACAGGGGCTCCCAGAGGAAATTTC